GGTTGAAAAACCTTAAATATAGACGGCGTTGCCTCTAATACCGATAAATACATTTAACGGAGAATTCATTAGCCTTGTGTTAATGTTGTAGTTACTCTCGGAGTAAGTGGATTGCGACCTGCTACACTCGTACTGGTTCTAAGTATTGAACAAAGGTTTTCGACCCTAACTAAGCTTCCTTTAAGCGAAAGAACTACGGTAGCCACGCTCCAGATGACGTAGTCAGCAGCGACAACAAAAAGATGGTGACAGCGATGAAAAGGCAGCACGATATTTTAGAGCAGTCGTTGATGAGAAGAATCACGCGATGTTGCCGAGAGTAATGTTACGTTAGTGCTCACTCCAGCTTGAATACGATCACACACTAGAAAAAGAGTAAGCAGTAACACTGAGTGGGGGTTAAGTGCCTTAGATGTTTGTTAGAAAATGACTGGGGATACTTATGAAAGGCGGATTAGTCTTAAAACGGAGCTTCTTAAGTTTTTACCCGAATATGGTGACTACATCTGTTGAGATTTTGTCCGAGTCTCACCTTCGTCTATCATCTTTTAAAAGAAAACCTGTCTAATATCAAATATTAAAATACAAAATAACAAATAACAAATAACAAATAACAAATACTTCGTTTTAAGCAATGCAAATTCCCATGATTGCAACAAAATGACAGTTTTCAATGCAAATATTAATACACAAATAAAATTAAAAACGAAAGGAGTGTATTCGCATCAAGTTTCTACCTCTAATTTATCCTGTTTTGGCAGATACTTTTGCGCCCATTTAACTATCTTCGGATTCGAGTTCGTAATTGCTTGATGATATATAGATTCAGCTTTAACATTGGTGAACTTCTCTGCCATGAGTTTAAAGAATGCCGACTGCGCCTTCTCTAATCCAATCTTATTTGCGAGTACTTTAAAGCGCAAGACAAACAAAGGGTCTCCCATGAACTTCTTGATTATATCGTCAGGAGTGGTGGTGCCCCAACCATGAAGTTTGGGGTTTGGGGAGTGCTTCAGTACACTTAGCTCGATGCTATTAGTTTTGAGTCCCATTTTGTCGGCAACCTTCAGAAACGAATCTATTCCAGAAAACTTGCCCGCTCCTTCAACCCGCAAATTAGAGCTGAATGCAAGCTCGGCAATCGATAAGACAGTGTGATAACCAGCAAAAGAACTTGGTGCCGCTTCATCGTTAAGAGTAAGAGGATCTGAAGTTGCTCGAATATTGAAGAATGAGTCTAACCAAACGATTTCCATGATCCTGCACAACGTGACCAAAAAATGAGGACATAAAAAAGCCGTTGTTATAGGCAGTTCGTAGCTAATGCGTAAAACGATGTGTCATTTTGAGCTTACGTCGTTTCCAACATCTTACTCTAGTGGACAAGATGAGGAAAGAATACAGAGCAATCGTTGGTGGTAGCATATCGTGGTTTGTTCGATCGACATAAGAAATCTGTGGTTAGCTTGTAAATACTTTACCGAAAACGTCACTTTCTGTCGCCATCGAAAAAGCTGTTTGAAAAAGAAAATGCGCGAAAAACATTTCTTACCTAATGATTGTCTTTTCCACCTTGAGAGGCCCAATTGGTACCCTCATATATTACAAATGAGCACCCCAGACTGCGTAATGAGATGTGTATTGGTAAAGAGCAATAATGTATAATGGTCACGAACACACGGCGGTAGCCTATTCAATCGGAAGATTACATTCACGCTATGATTTCGCTTGAATAACCTAAAGTTTGAAATCATTCTTTATGCTTTTACCGATGCCAAGCGCTACAATTACCGGGGACATAAATGTAGAAGACCTTCTCGATGCCACCTTGGAGATATAAGTACTAACCACCGTCATAGCCAATCTATACCAACCGTTTCATACTCAGCAGGTGTTATTGATAGGCTTTATTGGAGTTGCCCCGCCATCCGTTCGACATCTCACAATGGTAAGAGCTCTCTACAGAGGTGTGCGAATCATCTTTTACTGCATGTAACCACGACAACATGACAGCAAGTTCTTCTGAAATATGCTCTTCAACACTGGGTGATTCGTGTTCAAAGTTAAGATTGTCGGCAAAAATCAATCCTGTTTCATACGAACAACTAGTTAGTAATGTTGTCGGTAGTGCATGCACATGATTCAGTACACCAAGTCAATGCTTGTTTTACACCAATGCTGTCGAAATTTGCAGCAGTACTCATGTCAGCGTCGGCATCAAGTTGATCCAATACACGTTGAATTCGACGTCGTCGATATCGTCATTAAAGCAGTGACATTACCAGCAGCAATAGGTTGCAAATGAGGAGGTGTGTCCGGTGGGAAGAGTACGACTTCAAGTTCTTGAGGTTGTATCCGGTATGTACTGCAGCATTATCGACAAGAAGTACATACTTACGCTGTTGTTCTTTAAAGTATGTATTTACATTAGTGATCCACTTAAGAAAGATCCCGCGTGTCATCTACGTCGTTGCCGTGTGGTAGTAATTCATCTCTTTTGCGGTTGTATCCCCTTTTCCAGTCAATAACAGTGGTAGCTTTTCCGACCTATCGGCATCACAAGATAATGCGATTGTCAATTGTTTCGTTAATCGCTTGCCTGTACGATCCGGAAACATGGTGAAGTATAATCCCGTTTCATCCATACTTAACACATTTCGTGGTTCAAAGTTTCGTAATCGACGCTGGAGATCGTTCATAGCTTGTT